TTCTTTGCTTAGATGTTTCTGCAAATAGTTGCGAATGAATATATGCGTATTTCATGTCCAAGGCCGAAAAGTATAATTCTCTTTCTTGTTGCTTTCTTAAAATCTGGTTTTCACCATCCAATCCTTCAATTTAGAGGCATTTGATTTTAAAATTTTAATTTTTGCCTATTTATTGGTTATGAGTCTAAGGCCAATTTATTGAGTCATCTTCATTCACAGTGATCTCAATTAGGGCAATGAAACAGTATCTTTTGCTGTTGCCCAGTCTCTGGATGTTAACCTCGTCTTTCTGCTTTTTGACATCCAGTTGTACTTTATCCTGATTGTGTATAGGGTTTTTCTTTTCTTTTGTGTTGGACGCAAAGAACCTGTAATTTTTGATGACACTATATATTTTTTCGGCCTGCCTTGGCGGACAAATAATTGAATAAATTTATTAAAAATTTTTGTTTTCAAACTTTCAACGCTCATTTCAACAGATTAAATTTTTTAAAGGTTTTTGTTTTTCAAACTTTCATTTGCTCTGGTTGCGTTGTAGAGATTCCAATTCGTCCTCTCAAATCTAACCCCAGTATGCATTGCGAATTCCTTTCAGTTATCAATAAAATGGCCCTTTAATTTCCCAGCCAGCTGAAAAAAGGTCTGTCTTCAGCGATCCCAGGATAAGGATGGATTGCTTAATGTAATCTTTAAAGTGTGCTGGTAAGTTAGGCTTCTGCGCCAGTATGAGTTTTGGCCTACCGGATATATCCAGTAATTGTTTTACCGTCGCCTTGATTTAGATCCACTAGCTCCACTTCGTGTTCCCCCTCCTCACTCATTGTCATGTTAACTCCGATGAATGGTGGTCCTTTGACCTCTTCCATGGGTTCATCTGATCTGTTTTGGTCCTTTTTTGGAGCTTCTCTCGTGATTGCTTCTAGATCGCCAATTTCCGTCGGTTTTTTCTCTGGTTTGCTCCCTAATTAATTGCCAAAAAGAGTGCAATTGGTGTTCTGGTCAGTAGTTCATTGTTGGTACCAGCCATTTCCCTTTGGGAGGCGATCTTGAACTCATTTGTTGCTGTCCGCAAAAGGTTTTTTTTCCAAACGTAGTGGGAATGTTTCTGTTCGTTCTTCCTCAACTGACGCCTTGTCCTGCTCTCTTCTTCTCTAATTGTTCCACTTCGGGTCTGACAAACTCTCTTCTCTTTCCCCTCTCCGCGATCTCTTGTCAATGATTCAAGTTCCTCCGTAAATTTCGTTCATTTCCTCTTTTTTTTCTAAATTTCTTGTGAACTGCTTCGTCTATACTGATTTTGAACGAAAATAACATTATGACGTTCTGACAGTCGCTTTTTTTTCCGGTCGAGTTAAATCCATTTTGAACAATTTGGTTGCTAAAGCAACCGAGAGATGTCGTGTTTTGGCATGCGTTCGTTTTCAAACGTCTGGAAAGTTTTTGAACGTTTTCACTCCGATTGCGCAAGTTTTTCTCATTCAGATTACTGCGAACAGTCAAATGCTGAATGGACGAATCTGTGGCTCTGACGACGAATTTCTCGCCTAATTCCGATTCAAGCCATGGGTTTCGATTCTGCTTTTTGGACAAGTAGTCAACCATCCCAATTTACCTTGCAAGGATATGAACTTCTTTAAGATGATTCGGTGATAGTCGGTCAGACCACCGAGATAATCTATTTTAGGATGTTTTCTTTGACCTATTGGTATCCAGGGCCAATGTGAGCGCCTTATGATCTGTAACTGAGCTGGAAATTGTCTGTGAAAACTAGTGTTTATACTAGCTACTGCTTAAACTACTGCAAGTAATTCTTATTCAATAGTAGGAAACTTCTTTTCTTAGACATTTAGGTACCTTGAAGCCATTGAGTTCGGTACTCATTCTCTTTCACCAATTTTTTGCTCTAACGTAGCCCCCAACCTACTGTGACTGCTTCACATTTAATTTCATTTTATCGATTGCAGTCATAGTTGTTCACACTCGTCCGCCATTTTGATTTTTTTGGTTGCTACTGTATGCTCTTCAGACCAATCGATTTTTTTCGCCAGTTTCTTGACATCTTTTAATTTTTTTTCCACTTTGGTCGCTTTTTTGTCAAACTAGCTGCATTAGAAATGAATTTCTTTATATACTGGCTAAAAATAACGTATGTTGTTTCAGTGTTTTCGGTGGATTATGCTTGAAGATTGCTGCTGTTTTTGATATTATGAGACTAACCCACTTTCCGAAAAATGATGTCCCAACCAACCCACCTCATTTTAAAAAAGTTTGCACATCGTGATCTTTAAAGCTAGATTGTTCTCATCTAGAGTTTTTTTTTTACCGTTTTGACTATTTTTTATGTTCTAGTTCTGTACTTTCAGATACAAATAAGATATCATCCAAAAATAAGAATGTGTTTTGTGCGTTTTTCAGGGTTCGGTTCTTAACTTTTTGGAACTCCGCCAGTATATCTACAAGTCCAAAAGTTCCCGTCAGGAATCTAATTGTACCCGTTGCATTTCCATCAACATTTATTTGCTTAGATCTTTCTGCATTAGTTGCGAATGAATATATGCGTATTTCATGTACAATGCCGAAAAGTATAATTCTCCTTCTTGTTGTTTTCTTAAAATCTGGTTTTCACCATTCAATCACTCAATTTGAAGGCATTTGATTTTTAAATTTCAATATTTGCTTATTTATTGGTTATGAGTCTAAGGCCAATTTATTGAGTCATCTTTATTCACAGTGATCACAATTGGGGCAATGAAACAGTCTCTTTTGCTTTTGCCCAGTCTCTGGATGTTAACCTCGCCATCCAGTTTTTTGACATCCAGTTGTACTTTATCCTGATTGTGTATAGGGTTTTTCTTTTCTTTTGTGTTGGACGAAAAGAACATGTAATTTTTGATGACACTATATAGTTTTTCGGCCTGCCATGGTGGACAAATATCTGAATAAATTTATTAAAAATTTTTGTTTTTCAAACTTCCAACGCTCATTTCAACAGATTAAATTTATTAAAGGTTTTTGTTTTTCAAATTTTCAACTGCTCTGGTTGCGTTGTAGAGATTCCAATTCGTCCTCTTATATTGAAACCCAGTACGCATCGCGAATTCCTTTCAGTTATCAATAAAACGGCCCTTTAATTTCCCAGCCAGCTGAAAAAAGGTCTGTCCTCAGCGATCCCAGGATAAGGATGGATTGTTTAATGTAATCCTTAAAGTGTGCTGGTAGGTTAAGCTTCTGCGCCATTATGAGTTTTGGCCTACTGGATATATCCAGTATTTTTTTTACCGTCGCCTAATTTAGAAATGATACAGGACTGCCAGTATTCACTTTCAAATGAGATTTTTGTAGGTCGATCCTAACCAACGCTTTCCTTGACAAAATTTTATTTGATTTTTGGTCTTTCACGATGTTTAGTTTTTTTAACTGCAAAATCTTGTTTTTCTATCCGTATTTGATTTTTTTTGTTTTCGATACGATTATGAATTTAGTTTTCAATCTTTTTGATTTCCCGTCATATGTCCTGTATCGAGATAACTTCGAATTCGTCGCAGTCATCGAAACCCTCTACGAAATTTCATTATGTTTCTTAGATATCTGATGATTCCTCGGCCACTTCACTGACTTGTTGTGAACGACCCATTTTTGCGGAATGGTTTGCTTTTCCGCGGTTTTTACATAACTTACACATTTTTTACGCAAAAGGTCTGCAACATCTTCTACACGGTTTCTTCTTTCAACTGTAGCTCATGTTTCGATTGATATTTTTTTTGTTTCGAACCTTATTACTCTTTTAAGCACCTCTTCCGGTGATTGATAATGCCTCCACTGTCAGTGTGTCCTGTAACTTTGCCTTACGCATTCTTGAATTAAAAAGGTCTCTTACAAGTTCATTCTCTACTGTTTCCAAGTTTGAACTGGCTGCTTGTGCAGTAAATCAAAATTCATAAGTCTATCATCTGTTGATTAAATTATATCTCTCATGCGTAAATCTCTTTACTTTTTAAATGCGTTTTCCGCCATTTCAATGATATCTTTGAATATTAGCATGATACTTCCCGTGCGGTTTTTTTTGCAATAACCATTTTTTTCTCTGTTCGCAATGCTAGGATCAAAGCATAAACTATTCGTTGTTATACCTCGAAGTAAGAGGTTGTCTGACCAATTTTTGGGTTCTGGCTTGCTTTTCTTAAAATTCTAGTACAATTTTTTCTAACACTAGTATTCTCCTTCTGCGTTCACTTGCTGCTAGTGCAGTTGTATCTTCTCCGCTTCTTGGTGATACTGGTCTTGATTCAGCCTCCTCCACTACGCCTTTTAGCATCAAGGTTTTTGCCTGGCCAGTACCCCACTACCGAGTTGTTTATAATAAGTATCCAAGATCCACTACTTTGGTGAGGAAAATCTGCTTCAAACCATTTTCATGTACACCGTTTGATGGTGTTTTTAGCACTGCAGCAAAAATGGTAGCACTTACTGGAGATCGTGTAACATGCAAAATATTCCGCGTAGAAATTGGAAATTTTTCGATTAAAAACAGATTTTCATTTTTTTAAGAAAACGGTCACGCTCAATGAAATACCGAATGTTCGACGAGTGTTCGATGTTGCTGACGAACACGCGAAGGCAACTTTGGAAAGAATGTCGAACCTTTAAAAAGATTTAGAGGAGTCTTCAAAAAGAACTTTTTCTAGTCTTCTAAAACAAACGTGAAAAAGATCATTTTTAAAACGTTTCCGTCAAAAAAAACAAATTCAGCCATTCACTTTCATCAACTTTATCAATAGAATTAAAATCAAAAAATGTATCAAGATTGAAATTGATCGGCTGAAAAAAATTGAAACCAGTTACTTACTTTTTTTATGACTTCTTAACGCTTAGTAAATGGAAAATCTTTTCATGTGATTGAAAAGACTCAACAAAAAATCAAAAGATCAAAAAAATTGTTAAAGTAATTAAAAAATGGAATAATATATTGTTAACTTTTAGCGGCAGTGGACCTTATACAAATGTCGAATACGCAGGTGAGTACATTTTCTGAAGCACTGTTCTAGTTTGTTATTCATTTACACTTAAGACAGCAGCTCAATTCCTGGCTCTTTTTCCTCCCTGACTTAGGGAAAATTTGCCCTTGCCTTCTCAGCAATTCGACCCCTCCTCCGGCCTTTCAAAGCGTCCTTTTTGATAATCTATTATTATATCCTATTTATGCCTGTTTTTCATCGGAAGTTTTGCAGAACACCCTCATCTGCCCCCTTAGAAAAACCAAGATCATTCACTGCGAGAGTGAGTGCATAGAAGGCATATTTTCTAGTTAGCATTCATAAATAAACATCCTAGTACAAAACATCGTAGAAATCATAAATTATACAAATCATAAAAACTGATTAGTTGAGAAAATATGCGCGACAAATTAACAGTTCAGTGCAACAAAAACTACAAATCCTACTTCGCGGGTTGAAATGTTTTTCTACCGACTCGCCCAAACTGGCTATATTTCACAAACTGATTTAATTATCACAATTAAATTTGTTTTCAAAAACAGATCCTAGGTATAAATCCATTTCTAGAACTATCGAAGGTTTTTCTCAATTAGCTTAATGCAAACAAAATGTCTGAAAAAAAACTTGCTTTATACTTGAGTAGTATTGTATCGTGTCCCGGTTCCTAAGGGCGGGGGGGGGGGTCCTTCTTAAGGGGGGGTCCTCACGTAAAACAGAATCCTAGGAAAGGGGTCCTTAATTTTTTGGAGGGCTCTCATCCTAGGATTTCGTAAACTAAAGAAATTTTCCACCCAAAAAGCAGAAGACCCCCTACTTAGAATCATGCTAACTTTAGCTTAACAACAAGGGACACGATACAAAAATTTTTTTAATTCCAATTTTTGGGGTCCCAATTATTGGTCCTGGTTAATTATATGAATCATATTAATTGTTATATTTGTTTCAGGCAAATGAACTTTCGACCTAGTTGAAATTTGTTAGTGAACGGGGAATTGACTTTTATGGTATATTATAAAAATTCGCCGGCGATTTTGGCAGCGTAGCTTAACTGTTGGCAGCAGTAAACTAATTCCTTAACTTGCCTAAATTTTAGAGTGAAAAGGCAGTAAATTGAAATTACTCTCCAAAGGCGGCGGCCGTTTCTGGGCAAAACATACCAAATGATAAACTTGTCAAATTTTTAAATAAGAAAAATGAAATTAGAGGGAAATTGGTGTACTGAAGATATTATTTGGTGATAATGAACATTCACAATTAAGAGTGTTTTCAACAGCAGAAAAAAACTCATTTTTCAAATTTTGTGATGAACGCTATGTCGTCTTCCTCAAAAGGGCAAAGGAAATTTTAAAGAAAGAATACGAGTTATTTTTCAAAGAACAATTTTATTTGAGTGAGCTTCAACAAATCTCTTGGTGCATTTCCACAAAACAAAAATATGGTACTGTGAGCGATTTGAATATTGCTGATAATGAAAACTTAATCGACTATTCGTTTGACTTTAACTCAATATGGGTTGATAAAGACTTGGAGAAAAAAATCCGTCTATGTTTCAACAAGCTATCAAAATACAAAAAACTTCCGGTGGTTTATTTAATCATTTACCGCCGTTATCTGATTGAGTCTAAATGGTATTTGCCAGGTCACTTTTATTTCCACTGGCTTGAAATTCAGCAGGTTGGAGAGGTGTTGGAAAAATTAAACAATGAAATTGCAAAAAAGCAGAGTCACTCCGATTGTGCAAGTTTTTCTCATTCAGATTACTGCTTGAACAGTCAAATGCTGAATGGATGAACTTGTGGCTGTGACGACGAATTTCTCGCCTAATTCCGATTCATGCCATGGGTCTCCATTCTGCTTTTTGGACAAGTAGTCAACTATCCCAAATTACCTTGCAAGGATTTGAACTTTTTAAATTGATTCGGTGATAGTCGGTCAGACCACCGAGCTAATCTAATTTAGGATGATTTCTTTGACCTATTGGTATCCAGGGCCAATTTGAGCGCCTTATGATCTGTAACTATGGTGGAAATTGTCAGTGAAAATTAGTGTTTATACTAGCTACTGCCCAAACTGCTGCAAATAATTCTTATTCAATAGTAGAAAACTTCTTTTCTTGGACATTTAGGTACCTTGAAGCCATTGAGCTCGGTACTCGATCCGTTTCACCAATTTTTTGCTCTAAAGTAGCCCCCAACCTACTGTGAATGGCTTCACATTTAATTTCATTTTATCGATTGCAGTCATAGTTGTTCACACTCGTCCGCACTTTTAATTTTTTCGATTGCTTCTATATGCTCTTCAGACCAATTGATTTTTTTCACCAGTTTCTTGACATCTTTCAAATTTTTTTTCACTTTGGTCACTTTTTTTGTCAAACTAGCTGCATTAGAAATTAATTTCTTTAATATGAGTTATACTTGCTAAAAATAACCTACGTTGTTTCAGTGTTTTTGGTGGATTATGCTTGAAGGTTGCTTCTGCTTTTGATGTTATGAGACTAACCCACTTTCAGACAAATGATGTCCAAACCAACCCACCTCTTTTAAAAAAAGTTCGCACATCATGATTTTAAAGCTAAGTTGTTCTCATCTAGAATTTTTTTTTACCATTTTGACTAGTTTTTATGTTCTAGTTCTGTACTTTCAGATACTAATAAAATATAATCCGAAAATAAGAATGTGTTTTGTGCGTTTTTCAGTGTTCGTTTCTTAATTTTTTGGAACTCGGCCAGCATATCTACAAGTCCAAAAATTCCCGTCAGGAATCTAAATGTACCCGTTGCATTTCCATCAATATTTCTTTGCTTAGATGTTTCTGCAAATAGTTGCAAATGATTATATGCGTACGTCAAGTCCAAGGCCGAAAAGTATAATTCTCCTTCTTGTTGTTTTCTTAAAATCCGGCTTTCACCATCCAATCATTCAAATTTAGGAAATTGATTTTTAAATTTTAATCTTTGCTGATTTATTGGTTATGAGTCTGAGGCCAATTTATTGACTCATCTTTATTCACAGCGATCTCAATTGGGGCAATGAAACAGGCTCTTTTGCTTTTGCCCAGTTTTTGGATCTTAACCTCGTCATTCAATTTTTTGATATCCAGTTGTAACTTATCCTGATTGTGTATAGGGTTTTTGTTTTCTTTTGTGCTGGACACAAACAGCATGTAACTTTTGATGACACTATATAATTTTTCGGCCTGCCTTGGCGGACAAATGTTTGAATAAATTTATTAAAAATTTTTGTTTTTCAAACTTTCAACGCTCATCTCAACAGATTAAATTTATTAAAGGTTTTTGTTTTTCAAACTTTCAACTGCTCTGGTTGCTGTCCTCTGCATTGTAGAGATTCCAATTCGTCCTCTTAAATCCAACCCCAGTATGCATCGCGAATTCCTTTCAGTTATCAATAAAATGGCCCTTTAATTTCCCAGCCAGCTGAAAAAAGGTCTGTCTTCAGCGATTCCAGGATAAGGATGGATTGTTTAATGTAATCCTTAAAGTGTGCTGGTAGATTAAACTTCTGCGCCATTATGAGTTTTGGCCTACTGGATATATCCAGTATTTGTTTTACCGTCGCCTAATTTAGAAATGATACAGGACTGCCTGTATCCACTTTCAAATGAGGTTTTTGTAGGTCGATCCTAGCCAACGATTTCCTTGACAAAATTTTATTTGATTTTGGGTCTTTCACGATGTTTAGTTTTTTTTAACTGCAAAATCTTGTTTTTCTATCCGTATTTGATTTTTTTCTGTTTTCGATACGATTATGAATTTAGTTTTCAATCTCCTTGATTTCCCGTCATATGTCCTGTATCGAGATAACTTCGAATTCGACGCAGTCATCGAAACCCTCTCCGAGATTTTATTCTGTTTCCTAGATATCTGATGATTCCTCGGCCACTTCACTGACTTGTTGTGAACGACCCATTTTTGCGAAATGGTTTGCTTTTTCGCGGTTTTTTCTTAAATTACACATTTTTACACAAAAGGTCTGCAACATCTTTTACACGGTTTCTTCTTTCAACTGTATCTCACGTTTCGATTGATAATTTTTTTTTCGAACCTTATTACTCTTTTAAGCATCTCTTCCGGTGATTGATAATGCCTCCACTGTCAGTAAATCCTGTAACTTTGCCTTACGCATTCTTGAATTAAAAAGGTCTCTTACAAGTTCATCCTCTACTGTTTCCAAATTTGAACTGGCTGCTTGTGCAGTAAATGCTGCGTGGAACGCTTCAAGAGTCTCTCATCTGTTGATTAAGTTATATCTCTCATACGTAAATCTCTTCACTTTTTGAAATGGGTTTTCCGTCATTTCAATGATATCTTTGAATATTAGCTTTGATACTTCCCATGCGGGTTTTTTTGCAGTAAAATCTTTTTTCTCTCTGTTCGCTATGCTAGGATCAAGCATAAACTATTTGTTTTTATACCTCGAAGTAAGAGGTTCTCTGACCAGCTTTTGGGCTCTGGCTTGCTTTTCTTAAATTTTCTGTACAATTTTTTCTAACACTTGTGTTTTCCTTCTGCGTTCTCTTGCTGCTAGTGCAGTTGCATCTTCTCCGCTTCTTGGTGATTCTGGTCTTGATTCAGCCTCCTCCACTACGCCTTTTAGCATCAAGCTTTTTGCCTGGCCAGTACCCCACTACCGAGTTGTTTTCAATAAGTATCCAAGAATCGCTACTTTGGCGAGGAAAATCTTCTTCAAACCATTTTCATGTACACCGTTCGATGATTTTTTTAGCACTGCAGCAAACTTTGTTGGCAAGCAAATGGTAGCACTTACTGGAGATCGTGTAACATGCAATTTATTCGGCGTAGAAATTGGAAATTTTTCAATTAAATACAGATTTTCAATTTTTTTAAGAATACGATCAAGCTCAATGAAATACCGAATGTTCGACGAATGTTCGATTTTGCTGACGAACACGCGAAGGCAACTTTGGAAAGAATTTTGAGCCTATGAAAAATTTAGAGGAGTCTTCAAAAAGAACTTTCTTCATGGGGCAATGAAACAGGCTCTTTTGCTTTTGCCCAGTTTCTGGATGTTAACCTCGTCAATCAGCTTTTTGACATCCAGTTGTAACTTATCCTGGTTGTGTATAGAGTTTTTCTTTTCTTTTGTGCTGGACACAAAGAGAATGTAACTTTTGATGACACTATATAATTTTTCGGCCTGCCTTGGCGGACAAATATTTGAATAAATTTATTGCAAAATTTTTGTTTTTCAAACTTTCAACGCTCATTTCAACAGATTGAATTTATTAAAGGTTTTTGTTTTTCAAACTTTCAACGGCTCTGGTTGCTGTCCTTTGCGTTGTATAGATTCCACTTCGTCCTCTTAAATCCAACCCCAGTATGCATCGCAAATTCCCTTCAGTTATCAATAAAGTGGCCCTTTAATTTCCCAGCCAGCTGAAAAAAGGTATGTCTTCAGCGATCCCAGGATAAGGATGAATTGTTTAATGTAATCCTTAAAGCGTGCTGGTAGGTTAAACTTCTGCGCCATTATGAGTTTTGGCCTTATGAATATATCAAGTAATTGTTTTACCGTCGCCTAATTTAAAAATGATACAGGACTGCCTGTATCCACTTTCAAATAAGGTTTTTGTAGTTCGATCCTAGCCAACGCTTTCCTTGACAAAATTTTTTTTGATTTTGGGTCTTTCACGATGTTTAGTTACTGCAAAATCTTGTTTTTTTATCCGTATTTGATTTTTTTCTGTTTTCGATACGATTATGAATTTAGTTTTCAATCTCTTTGATTTCCCGTCATATGTCCTGTATCGAGATAACTTCGAATTCGACACAGTCATCGAAACCCTCCGTCAAAAAAAAAAACAAATTCAGCCAATCACTTTCATCAACTTTATCAAGAGAATTAAAATCAAAAATTTTCTTTAAGATTGAAATTGCTTAAAGTGATCTCGAGATCGGCTGAAAAAAATTGAAACCAGTTACCTTCTTTATTTTTATGACTTCTTAACGCTCTGTAAATGGAAATTCTTTTCATGGGATTGAGAAGACTGAACAAAAAATCAAAAGATCAAAAAAATTGTTGAAGTAATTAAAAAATGGAAATATATATTGTTACCTTTTAGCGGCAGTGGACCTTATACAAATGTCGAATACGCTGGTGAGTTCATTTTCTGAAGCACTGTTCTAGTTCGTTATTCATTTACACTTAAGATAGCAGCTCAATTCCTGGCTCTTTTTCCTCCCTGACTTAGGGAAAATTCGCCCTTGCCTTCTCAGCAAATCAATCCCTCCTCCGCCCCCTCAAAAGGTCCTTTTTGATAATCTATTACTACATCCTAATTATGCCTGTTTTTTATCGGAAGTTATGCAGAACACCCTCATCTGCACCCTTAGAAAAACCAAGATCATTCACTGCAAGAGTGAGTGCATAAAAGGCATATCTTCCAGTTAGCATTCATAAATAAACACGCTAAAACGAAACAACGTACAAATCATAAATCATAAAAACCATAAAGACTGATTAGTTGAGAAAAAATGCGCGACAAATTAACAGTTCAGTGCAACAAAAACTACAAATCCTACTTCGCGGGTTGAAATGTTTTTCGACCGACTCGGCCAAACTGGCTATAATTCACAAACTGATTTAATTGTCACAATTAAAATTGTTTTCAAAAACAGATCCTAAGTATAAATCCATTTCTAGAACTATCAAAGGTTTTTCTCAATTAGCTTAGTGCAAACAAAATTTCTGAAAAAAACTTGCTTTATACTTACCGTCAAATCATTTTTATAAGTTACAAAACAAGATATTAATAGCATTTTTAGCTGGTCATTCAATTCCATATTTGGAGCTTTTGCTAAAAACTCTATTCTCATATAAGGTTGTTCTTTGCCAAACTTTTTGGGGGAATATTAATGTTGAGTATATATGACTGAACTATTGATTTCTTGTTAATCATAATTGTTGTGATAAACTTATGAAATAGAGCAATGTCGTGTAGCCATTGATTGAATTGAGATCATGACAAACTCGTTTTTATAATAACAGGTTATGGGCCCAGACAACGTTCGTGAGTAGTATTCTTGTTGTTTTACTTGGAATCTTACTTCGCTGGTTTCATTCAGGTACTTGGTATTGTTTGCTGTTATTTCTTGGTTACAGTCAGTACCAGGTTGTGAACACTTAGTTTCGATTGAAAAAGTCAGAAGTGTTCGATTTTCCAAAGCTAGATGGCAGCAATTACCGTGAGTGGAGTTGGTATATAAAGGTGTACTTGCTGGACAAAGGTTTGTTTGATTATTTGGATGGAACCATAGCGCAACCAGAAGATGCTACTGCAGTTTCAGCGTGGCAGTGTGAGGACAGGAAAGCACTCGCAGCAATTTGTTTAGCTGTTGAACCTTCGCAGAGAGTCCATGTGATGGGGACAGAGACGTCCAAGGCTGCGTGGGACGCATTGTCATGTCAGCTTGTCGGAGTTTCTTTGTCACAGAAGTGTAGACTGAGGAAGAGGTTTCACTCACTCAATTTGGAGAGAGGAGGAGACGTTGTACAGCATGTCAATGATTTGAAGAATTTGCACGAGGAGTTGCGACAGATGGGAGAAGAGATCTCAGACAAAGATCTAGCGATGACATTGATTGGAAGCTTGCCACACGATTATTTCTAGTCATTGATTGTTGCATTGGATGTGATGGGCGAGGAGAAGATGTCTTTCGACATGGTGAAGAATTTGCTAGTCTGTGGGGCAGACAGAAAAGCAGAAAGCAGTATGTTCTAGATGCCAGAACAGCGATGATAAAGTTCAGTGGTAGATGCAACATTTGCAAGGAAGTTGGACACATGGCCAAGAATTGTTTCCAGAAGAAAGAGCAGAAGTCTTCGACTCCGAGAGGTGTCGAGTGTCACAATTGTGGATAGATTGGCCACATTGCGAAAAATTGCTAGAAGAACAATGATGCGAAAGAGGGCAGTCAAAAGCTGCAGTTGCAGTTGCCTGTGAGGAGGAGGAAGAGATAGCGCTGAAATGTTCGACGAAGCATATCAAGGTTAAGGAGAGTAGTTGAATTAGTGACTCAGAAGCATCTCAGCATATGAATCAGAACTTAGATTTCATCGACAATTACAAGAAGTACGAAGTTCCGCGAGCAGTCAAGTTAGGCGATGACGCCGTTATCCGAGCTTATGGCTGTGGTTCTATGTCAGTCAAACTTGAGAATGGAGAGATACCAAATGTACGGCTACACGATCTTCTCTATTTACCAGATCTCGGCAACAGTTTGTTGAGTGTTCCGTCAATGACGAAGCGTGGAGCACAAATTTTGTTCAGCGAAAATTAATGTACTATCATGAAAGGTAGCAAAGTTGTTGGAAAATCAGCAACTAGTGGAAATGTTTTGAGTAATGAAGTAGCAAAGTCCAAAACAGCTCATGTTGCTCTTTCGGAGATATCGATGAAATTGTGGCATGGACGTTTTGGCCATGTTAATGTTCAGTCGTTGAAGAAAGCCGCAAGCAGTGAATCAGTTGTCGGGATGAGGAATGTTGAGTACGAGAAGTTCGACTGTGAGAGCTGTGCAGATGGCAAACAGCACAAGACATCGTTTCCGAAGTCAGTTAACCAGTCGTCAGAGTTACTTCAAGTTGTGCACAGTGATGTTTGTGGACCAATGGAAACAGACTCACTTGGTGGTTCGAGATACTTTGCAACCTTTATTGATGACAAGTCCAAGTTTGTACATGTGTATTTCATGAGTCACAAGAGTGAGGTCACAGAAGTGTTCAAAAAATTCTGCAACATGGCAGAGAATCAAACAGAGAGACGAATCAAGACTCTGAGAAGTGACAATGGAGGAGAGTACCGTTCGAAAGAAATGGAGAAGTTCCAGAGTGAGAGAGGAATAGTTTGGCAGACAACAATTCCATACACACCAGAACAGAACCGAACAATACTGGAAACCGCGAAGTCAATGTTGTCGTTTGCAAAGATGGTCAAGTCTTTCTGGGCGGGAGCAGTCAGCACTGCAGTTTACATACGGAACAGAAGTCTTCCAGGCAACGACAGTATTACACCATACGAGAAGTGGTTTGGTACAAAACCTGATGTTTCGAATCTTAGCATTTTTGGATGTAGAGCAATAATGCATGTACCGAAAGAGAAGAGGAATAAGTTGAAGAACTATGTGTTTGTCGGTTATCCCGGTCACAAGAAAGTATACAAACTTTACGACAGTGTCACCAGGAGCATGGTTGTTAGTCGAGATGTCAATTTCTTGGAGAGTCAGTTACTTGAAGATAGTTTCCTTGTCACTGAACTGTCAGGAGGAGAAGAGTTTTCTAGCCAGCAGAAACTGATTACGACAGAAATTGTGCAAGATGAAGAAGGTGCCACGACAATACCAGACGTTACCAATCTGGTTCAGGAGGAGCCATTACTTGAAACAGTGACTGAGGAACCACAAGTGCAGCCGACTTAAGAGAGAACGTTTATGAATTCACTTGAAAACCTACCTGACAAGCGAAGAAGGAAGACCGCAGCAGTTTGCTGTGTCGCGAATGATGTAGTTGAAGAACCGAAGACAACTGAAGTCAGCTCTCAATTCCGCACACTCTGAGTTGGCGATTTTGTAACAACAACTAATAATTCGGAAAATAGGGCTATAGTGTGAACATGAACAGTTTCAACAATATGTTCAAACCTCCATCAGGGTCACAAACGCTCTTTGTGTTTCTGAAAAGTTGACCTAATTACCACTATTCAATATGATATCAAAAACGAATTCTATATAAAACCTCAATTCTGTTTCATCAAAAATTTTTTAAGTTCAGCTTGGAAAGCAACCAAAAGTCTGTAAAAAACATCCTTTAAATTTTACGTCATTTCAGTTTCAATTATTACAAAACCAGATATAATTAGCACTTTTTAGCTGATCATGCGATTCCCAATTAGGAGCTTTTGATAGTACGCTATTCATACTCATATAAGGCTACTGTTTTACCAAATTTTGGGAAAAATCAAAATTCGGAAAATAAGGCAATCCTTTGGACAAAAATAGTTTCAACAGTATGTTCAAACCTCCATCACGGTCAAAGACGCTCAAAATTACATGGAAAAAACTTCGTTTCTCTGAAAAGATAACCTATTGAAATTGATTTCAAAATCAAACCCTATATAAAATTTCAATTCTAGTTATTATCAAAGGTTTTTTAAAATTCAGGTTGGAATGTAAACAGGGGCACCTACACTTAAGACAGCAGCTCAATTCCTAGCTCTTTTTCCTCCCTGACTTAGGGAAAATTCGCGCTTGCCTTCTCAGCAATTCGACCCCTCCTCCGGCCTTTCAAAGGGTCCTTTTTGATAATCTATTACTATATCCTATTTATGCCTGTTTTTCATCGGAAGTTTTGCAGAACACCCTCATCTGCCCCCTTAGAAAAACCAAGATCATTCACTGCGAGAGTGAGTGCCTAGAAGGCATATTTTCTAGTTAGCATTCATAAATAAACATGCTAGTACAAAACATCGTAGAAATCATAAATTATACAAATCATATAGACTGATTAGTTGAGAAAATATGCGCGACAAATTAACAGTTCAGTGCAACAAAAACTAAAAATCCTACTTCGCGGGTTGAAATGTTTTTCGACCGACTCGCCCAAACTGGCTATATTTCACAAACTGATTTAATTATCACAATTAAATTTGTTTTCAAAAACAGATCCTAGGTATAAATCCATTTCTAGAACTATCGAAGGTTTTTCTCAATTAGCTTAATGCAAACAAAATGTCTGAAAAAAACTTGCTTTATACTTAAGTATCATTGTATCATGTCCCGGATCCTAAGGGCGGGGAGGGGGTCCTTCCTATGGGGGGGTCCTCACGTTAAACAGAATCCTAGGAAAAGGGTCCTTAATTTTTCGGAGGACTTTCATCCTAGGATTTCGTAAACGAAAGAAATTTTCCACCCAAAAAGCAGAAGACCCCCTACTTAGAATCATGCTAACTTTAGCTTAACAACAAGGGACACGATACAAAAAATTTTTTAATTCCAATTTTTGGGGTCCCAATTATTGGTCCTGGTTAATTATATGAATCATTTTAATTGTTATATTTGTTTCAGGCAAATAAACTTTCGACCTAATTGAAATTTGTTAGTGAACGGGGAATTGACTTTTATGGTATATTATAAAAATTCGCCGGCGATTTTGGCAGCGTAGTTTAACTGTTGGCAGCAGTAAACTAATTCCTTAACTTGCCTAAATTTTATAGTGAAAAGGCAGTAAATTGAAACTACTCTCCAAAGGCGGCGGCCGTTTCTGGGCAAAACATACCAAATGATAAATTTGTCAAATTTTTAAAAAAGAAAAATGAAATTAGAGGGAAATTGGTGTACTGAAGATATTGATAATGAACATTTACAATTAAGAGTGTTTTCAACAGCAGAAAAAAATTCATTTTTCAAATTTTGTAATGAACGCTATGTCGTCTTCCTCGAAAGGGCAAAGGAAATTTTAAAGAAAGAATACGAGTTGTTTTTTAAAGAACAATTTTATTTGAGTGAGCTTCAACAAATCTCTTGGTGCATTTCCACAAAACAAAAATATGGTACTGTGAGCGATTTGAATATTGCTGATTATGAAAACTTAATCGACTATTCGTTTGACTTTAACTCAATATGGGTTGATAAAGACTTGGAGAAAAAAACCCGTCTATGTTTCAACAAGCTATCAAAATACAAAAAACTTCCGGTGGTTTATTTAATTATTTACCGCCGTTATCTGATTGAGTCTAAATGGTATTTGCCAGGTCACTTTTATTTCCACTGGCTTGAAATTCAGCAGGTTGGAGAGGTGTTGGAAAAATTAAACAATGAAATTGCAAAAAAGCAGATTGTGCAAGTTTTTCTCATTCAGATTACTGCTTGAACAGTCAAATGCTGAATGGATGAACCTGTGGCTGTGACGACGAATTTCTCGCCTAATTCCGATTCAAGCCATGGGTCTCCATTCTGCTTTTTGGACAAGAAGTCAACTATCCCAATTTACCTTGCAAGGATATGAACTTTTAAATTGATTCGGTGATAGTCGGTCAGACCACCAAGCTAATCTATTTTAGGATGATTTCGTTGACCTATTGGTATCCAGGGCCAATGTGAGCGCCTTATGATCTGTAACTATCGTGGAAATTGTCTGTGAAAACTAGTGTTTGTACTAGCTACCGCCCAAACTACTGCAAATAATTCTTATTCATTAGTAAAAAACTTCTTTTCTTGGACATTTAGGTATCTTGAAGCAATTGAGCTCGGTAATCACTCTGTTTCACCAATTTTTTGCTCTAAAGTAGCCCCCAACCTACTGTGAATGGCTTCACATTTAATTTCATTTTATCGATTGCAGTCATAGTCGTTCACACTCGTCCGCACTTTTGATTTTTTCGATTGCTTCTGTATGCTCTTCAGACCAATTGATTTTTTTCACCAGTTTCTTGACATCTTTCAAATTTTTTTTCACTTTGGTCACCTTTTTGTCAGACTAGCTGCATTAGAAATGAATTTCTTTAATATGAGTTATACTGGCTAAAATTAAGCTATGTTATTTCAGTGTTTTCGGTGGATTATGCTTGAAGATTGCTTCTGTTTTTAATATTATGAGACTAACCCACTTTCAGAC